AAAAGTAACCAAAATAGCTGTTGGGTTGGACAGTTCTCTAATACAGACTGCTTTCCCTCTTCTTGAGTGAACAATTTTTCTATCAGGTTTTTACATTACCAATTTTTAAATGTAATAGTATAATTACCACCCTTACAATTAAAACAAACACACCCCCCTTCAAATCCATTTCTAGCTCAACACCCCCCCCCCCAAAAAACCCTGCACACCAGAACTGTAGGAAGTATTAGTGCTGTGATATAGTATGAAATGTAAACATGTATCTTAATTGGTTTTGTTAATTTAAAACATTGGGTTTAATGGAGGCAAGTTTACAATGCTCAAAACACCCTATACCACAGTTTAACTCCTGTAGGTCCACAGGAGATAAAAAATGTGTCATCTTTTCCAATAATGTTTGGTTAATTAATTTTTATGGGAAACTGTCTTAACATTTTTCAAGTAAGGTCAGAATGTCCTCCAGACTAAAAATACTGAGAGATGATAAAATGTCTCCTACTGTGGTTCATTTTATAATGCCAAGTAGGCAGGAGTCAATGAAGTAGCACAGGGGGCTTTTTCCCCCACTTTTCTTATTTACTACTCTTGAAAAAACTAGAAACTGACTATTTAGCATCACAACTCATTCTTAGCTGTCTGCCTTAATTTACTGTTGATAAAGGTACACAGAAATCATCCACTATACTCTGTGGGTTGACTAAACTACAAAAACAGTGCACTGTGTCACAAAAAGAACGTGTATTCTGGTAGCAAACCAGGAAACATTGGCTTATTTTCAAATTAGAAAGCATACAATTTTTACAGATGTAGTGTAACTATAATCAGCACCAACTTTCTTCTTAACGGGAGTGTCTTTAAATAAATTTTGGAGTACCAACATATGAAGAGACAGAAGAGATAATGAAATGTGGAGTTCCAAACAAGAGAAGATTAACCCACTGCTAATGTACATAACATCTGGTGCAAAGCCCATTGATATCAAAGATGAGATTTTAATGTTTGATGATTTTGTGCCCAAGCCACATATAATGGAAAGCACATACGCAAATACTTGGGGGTCCAGAGAGAAACATTAGAAGCTATAATCATATTTATTTAAAAAAAGTGATATCAAATACAACCATATATATTCGTGCCTATTTGGAGAGCATTTTCAAAATACCAAACAGCACTGCCATTTTCCAGTCAAAACAATGATAAAGCATTTCAGCCTTCCTTTTTTTTTTTTTTTTTTAAAATCTTTTCAGTATTATATGCTTTATATACACAAAATAGAGACAAAAATTGTATAGGAATTCAGAGCCAAAGACATGATACTGAAAGCAGAGTCTCAAGAAGAAAAATCTATTACTGAAAATTATTTCTAAAATACACAACTATTAGGCAAGAGATGAAAAAAAATATTCCCTTACAAAATCCTAATGCTACCCTTTTTTGTACACATGGGGTTTCATGTAGCAAAAAATAAAATTTTATCAATGCTTGCATGCTTTAGAGACAATATCAAGGTTTTTCTCCTTTTTTTTGCACAGTGGCATTTAAATATTACATCCTTTCCTGTTCAAACGCTTTTATAAGAACCCTTTTATAAGTTTCCCTTCCTGAATTCACACAGTGTCTCTACTGGGGGGATAGGGGATTAAAAAAAACAAAACTAAACAAAGACAAAAAAAACCCCACAAAAAACCCCCGAAGTGTAGTAACAATTATTTGCTTTTCTTAACAACACCACTAAAAACATTTTGATTTGGTAAAAGCAGTTGAAAAGTCACATGTACTTTTAACATTCTGAAGAACTGCAATTGGAGATGACTGTGGCAGCTTAAATGCTAAAGCATTCTCTCCACGTCTGAAATGCAAATAAGGCAAAATGTGTGTATGCAGGTTAAAAGTTTATTGCAACACAGCTCATGCTTTTAAGATGCAAACCTGGATACCATACAAAGAAGCTATTCATTTGAAACTAAAGAACTGAATATTTGGACTGGGCCAATTACGTATTGTTCTTACCTGAACAACTGATTATGTGTATGTGGGGAATAGGTATATAGGGATTAGGTATGTATGTATTAAATGATAGGGCTTTCTTTTTTTTTTTAAATTTGTGAGGAACTATGAAGATTTCCTAGGAGTTAAGTTTGGTTTATGCAAAACAGTAATGGCTTACTAAGTGAGCAACATAATTTTGTATCTAAGCCCTTAAAAAAAAGTTTCCACTTCAGTTTTTCTTTTCCTTGGATTCTTTTTTCGATTCCTTTAAAAGTATGTGCTGGTAACATGAAATGTACAATAATACTTCTTTGTAAGTCTGAGTTCTAGAGTTCTCCAATCCCATTCCTCATAATATTCCTCAGTAAAAAGGCCATCATTTGTACATGTTCATCATTATTTGAAACAGTAACAAAATTGTAGAAAATTTCAGACATTTTTGAGCTGTAACTTGTTCATTTTTAAAAGCCTAATTGTCACTTTTGTAATAAAAAAAGCAGCTTGCAAACAACAATAATTGTCCAAGATACAGAATTGTTTACTAGACATTTGCAGGAGCCATTTTAAACTCCCCACCATTTTATAGATTTGTAATAGAAGCAATAGTCCAACATGAAAACACATTGGAGATTTAACTTTGTATTGGTTATTTTTAAGCAGTCTGCAAAGTAATTAAGTATGAAAAAAATTAGTACCTTAGCTGAAAATTACATTTCAACTTGAAGTCGCTTGAAGAGCACAAGGAACCCAAATGTTGGCAAGTAAGCCAGTATTGTATCAAATTAGTTTCAAGCCCAGAAAAATGTGAGCATTTAAATAGCTCATATTTATACCTGCGGTGCCTAACAAGAATTGCATTCAAGCATGACTGCATTACAACACTTTTTCCTCCTGCCCTCATTACAAGACCGTGAAAGCAGGTTACAGAATTATATTTACAGAACTAATTTTGGAAGATATTTAATGTAGGTATCACTCATTCCCCCTTCCCCTTTGATTTCTACAGGCAGAAAAACACAAATTACATGACATGGACCATTCACTGTGAGGAAGACTGTAAAAATCTATTGGATGAATGAAGTCTGAAATTCCTTCAAATATCATACTGTAATTAAAAAAAAACCCAAACAAAACCCAAACTATTTCTGTTCCTTTACAGTGGACTTTGGCCTAAAGCTACAACATTGGAAAAAACCTTCAGCTTAACAGAAAGATAACACTAGGAATAGGCTGTACATTAGTAAATACCTTATGCGCATAGTTCAGCCACGTTGAGAACTGCTTATCACTGAAAGAATGCACACCAGAAAATGAGATCAGCTTTTTATTGACAGCTTCTTGGCAGGTCCACATGTTTTGAACTTCAGATCTGGGTTATAAAATATGTACTGTCAGTAATTGCTATAAGCCTTTTCCTTTGGTGCAATTAACATACGTAGCTTAAACTGCTAGAGTAGGCAGATATGCCTACTTCATTAAACTCAACATTCCTCTGAAAATCAAATCGGTATTTGTAGAGTGACAGTGTTTCTACACAAAAAGGAATACAGTTAGCCCTGTAATGATTAACACAGTTGTGCTTTTCAGGCACTGTTACTTTATATTCCTTACATATTAAAACACTTGGATGATGAAGTAACTTACAAAGTGACATGAAAGTTCAAATGCAAACCTCCATGCTTTAGTGATTATAAAAACATGTAATTGTCACAGGTTACAGTTAATGCAAATCAAGGGGCTTCAATTTTTTTTTTTTTTAATATAGGGCTGCTACACTATATAGCTATAGAAATAATACAATTTTATTATATTATTATAATAGAGGATAAAAGGTCCAAGTTCCAAGTACTGGTATCAAATTGCCAGCCTATACCTATTTATAAAAATGAGAGTCTTACTTTAGAACCAGTTTATGGCACAACAAAAGAAGGGAAATTAAAGCTGTGGATAATTTACAAACAAGCAAAGAAATAATTCAGTGCTTTAGAGATTCCTTTCCTGTTTTCAGTTTCATATACATTTTAAACTGAAAACAAAAATTTACATCGTGAAAAATATAGTATTTCAAAATGGCATATGCACACATGGACACCTGAAGCCATTGTTTATGTGTATTAATTTGAGACACTACAGATATTAATTATAATGTGCATGACAGGATTATTTAAAAAAGATGAAATTTAAAACCAGTTCTTAAAAAGTAGTGCTGTTGCATGTGAAAATCCATATTGTCTTACACATACCAGTGGTTCTGGTGACATTGGTGGAAATTCAGCACACAGGGAAGGAATACAGAAATTAGCCCAATTACATATAATAATATCCTAAGCTATCAAGAAACCATTGCTGTAAACAAATCTTCACTGAGAGGTAAGAGCCCTTTCATGTACAGTACTACTTGACTCTGAATGTATGTTTCCATCTAGCTACCATTCATTTCATACTAATTTTAATTTAATTTTACTGTTGTGCAATGATACAGCTTTAGAATATTTTGATAAAGAAATTTGGGGTTATCTTCAAAAGGTTCTTAGAATGCCTGTGATAACTGTTAATGCATTAAGTGGACTACAGCTTACATACTCTATCTACAAGAAATTTCCATATAATTTATATGTAAACAGAATTTGTATTTCAAGCACCATTTAGGAAAATGAAACATATCTCAATCTTTGCACTGAAGTTGAAAGTCAGGTTTGGTCACCCTGTTACACATTCATCCTGAATATCAAAGCAAATGTCTTACAACCAACAGCATAAGCTCTCTTACATACTTTACTCCCCATTTTTTCCTCAGGATCAGAAACAGCATGATAAAAATTGTAAGGTGCGTGAATAAAGGCCATTCCTGAAAAAGCTGCAACATTCTGACAGACACTCATATAAAGCATTTCAGAAAGAACATCCACACAGACATAAATATTCATTCTTAAATGAACTACTTGCACAGGGGTCATTTCAGACTGCAGGAATGAA